AACATTTATCTTTAGTCTATTGATTTTCTCTTATTCATTGCATAAGTGAACCATATGATTCTTGGTACAAAATGATTTATTTTCCCCTTTGACTTATGGAATCATAAAAATAAAGCATAAAGTCTTCCAAGAAAGAAGAAAAGGTTAATGTTTCATGGAATCTGGGGCAGCAGAGGCAGAAGACGGGAAACTACAGTGCCCTTAGCCTGGCCATTTCCTGAAGGTCTTACCAGGCCAGCCTGGAGATATGATCCTACCAGAGAGTACTGGGTCAGCCTTGGGATCTTCTTCTGGAGAGAGATTATTAAATCACCTCCACAAGGAGGTGTCGTAGTGGCATCATGACCACATGCCTGAACCACAATGTTACGGTCAGAGAAACTGGATCTAAGAATTCAGCCAACACACAGAATGGAGGATAAAATAAAAGTGTATAGTATGAAGAAGACAGGAGTGGACTGGCGTGGTGTGGCGTGGCTTCAGACTGATTTGACTTGGCTAGACTAGGCTTGAATGACATGAATTGAATGAAAACAGCATACCTGACTGTGTTTGCTCTGGCTTGCGGCAGCAGAGGTAGAGCACGTTATCCAGTAATTGGAAGGTTGCAGGTTCAATCTCGGCTCCCGGCAGATAATTCTGCTGTTGTGTCCTTGGGCAAGACAACTAATGGGCTCGACACATGGGAGGTGACAAACGACCTCGATCATCGAAATTTGTCGCTGTCGCTTTTATTACCTGTCACACGGGAGGCGATCCGCGGCAGTGGCCAGCCGCAAAGCCGTCTACGCGTCCTGTTCCATGGCGAAATCGAATCTTCCGTTGTTTTGATTGGCTGTGTCAGGTTGGAGGGAATTAAGGTTATTTAAGCGGTTCAGAGTTAATAAAGCGGTAGATATGATGTTTCACAAGGTGCTGCTAGAGTTATGTGAAATCTTACTTCTGATTTTACTATGAAACATAATAATAATCAACTTCTCCTCCATTTTTGCTCAGAGATGTGCGGAGCATCCTGTCCGCTCATTGGTCAGTGAATGAAACCTCCGATGATTGGTCCTCGTCCGAGCGACAGCGATGAAAAGTTGAAAATGTTTCAACTTTCTGGGATCGCGTCGCTGGGTCATCCGTGCACGACACTTGCATGAGTGCAAACTTTCACAACGCACGTTTTTCGCGTTTTGCTTGGTAGGAGAGAGACCCGCGATTATCGCTTTGTCGCGCATGTCTCATTGAAACGGAATGGAGGAGAGGCGATGTCGCCTCCCGTGTGTAGAGCCCCCCTCCGTACCTGCTGGTGGCAGTCAAAGGGACCAGCGGCACCTGTGCTAGGGAGCCTCACCTCTGTCAGTGTGCCCCTGGACAACTGTTGCTACCCTGTAGCTCATCATCAGGGTGTGAATGTGTGTAAGAATGGATGAATGATGCACTGTTGTGTAACACCCCAAATTCCACTACCTCCGCTCCGCTCCGGCACGAACTCCGCAGCAAAATCGGTCCCGTTGTAGTCAATCAGAGCAATTCTACCACTGCGGCCGTGCGGCGCAGAGCGCCGCCCTCTTTTCCGGCGTCCGGTAAAAATAGAATCGATCCTATTTTTGCCGGACGCCGGAGCACCTCCGCAGTCAATGGACAGGAATCACAACTGCCCAACAGGAAAAGGAGCAAGCACAACTTCCGTTTTTCACAATAAATCGCTAAACAAAAGGCGTTTTTTGTTTCGTATGCACAGGTTTAACAACTTTTAACAACTATCAATGGCGGCTGAAGTTTAAATGCACAAAAATAAGCCATAAATACAGTTTCCACTATCAAAGTAGTCACACTTTGTTGATCCAAACACTGCTGATCTCTCAACACAAATGATGGGCAGATTAAACAGTTCATGCCGATGCTTCTCCCACACAACAGGTGTTTGGATCCAACTTCTGCGTTTATTGCTCGGACTGTATCGCAAGATCTCGAAAATCCCGCGCATGCTTGTTTGCGCAGCTCAGGTCTCCGCACCGGAGCGGAGCCGTTGTAGAGCGGGTACCAGTAATAAAGCTCTTTGGAGTTCTCTGACTCTGAAAGGTGCTGTACAAGTGTGGGTCATCTATCATTTCAATTACTTTTATCAGTTTCATGATTTTTTATTCATTTTACAGCTATTTAGTTCATTTTATTTTAGTGTGGAGCACTTTGGTCACCTCTTTGGTTGGATGGTTGGTTGGTTGGTTGGTTGCTGATTGGACATGACTTCTACTTGCCTTGACTTACTTGACTTGATGACTGGAACAAGATGAGGGCTTCACCAAAGACCTAGATGATCTGACATCAGAGCTGTGGCTGCAGACATCCTGGGGATCACAGGTTGAAACAATGGAACAAATACAGGTGAGCCTGTTTGTTTGATTAAGTTCGGAGTGGCGTGAAAACAGTTATGGAGCTAAACTCATCACAACGTCAGCTGATTCCTCTCAACTCTACTCAGAACGCCTGACCCATCTGTAAAACAGAGCCCAGCCATCCTGTGGAGAAAATACATTTTTAGTCAACCTTTGCCCTCAAACCTGTCGACCAGCAGTCTAAGCCTATAGCAGCATAACTACAGTGATAACTCTGGATAATCTATCCTATTTAGATGGAGGCATGTTGGAGGCAGGGCGAGGGAGAAACAGAAACAACATCCTCCAAAGACTAAACCTAACACCCTCCACATGATACCCAGCCCATCCTAATAAGACATGAACATAACCGGTAACAATGGGCAGCTCTGGGGGAGTGGTGGTGTCTTTTGTGTTCATCTCAAAGCCTCAGGTCAGTCATGTGTAGCTAAGGTCAGTCAGGCATGAAAAAGAACCAATGCAGGTCCAGGTTTTTGGATTCATAAATATTTAGTTTAAATCTCAGTTCCTACAAATCCTTCTGATCCTCCTCTAAATTGTAGAGAACAGGAACCAAAGACACCAGCATGGCTAACCAAAACACCAAGACCTTGCCCAAGTGGCAACAATACAACTATAAAACAGAAATCTGTTGTATTTTCACAGGTCAGCACAAGACTTTCCACTTTTAAATACAAAAACTCTCAGAAGAGAGCTGCGTTTATGAAGTAGTTGGTATAAAAATGGTGTTGCACACCAGAAATGGGATCTGCCTTTTCATAGACTTTAAATAGTGTGTCATGTTTTCCTGTCATAATCACAGAATGGAAGTATTAAGCAGATTTTTTATCCAGATTTTAGCTCATCTGTGTATTTTAGCAACATTGTGTTGCTAATTAAACTACCAGAGTTTTATTTTTAGGTACTACATGAAATAAAAGCTCGGAAACCTCTACAACCACTGGTGTATCATACTGTGAATTCTTTCTGTTCACCATCCAAATATGTTTTTCCTCTACCGGCCAGCAACCAACAATTATCGTTCTGTCAAGCCGCCGCTCCTCACAATATGTTTTCCCTTCTCCTGCTTGAATGTGTTTAACACCAAAGACATCAGGGTATTGTCTGGAGGCATGAAGCGACTCAGTCCGTATTGTCTCACACAGAATGACAGTTTGTTTCCTCGTCAGTGCAGCTCTTGTCAGGGGTCGCAGGAAGTCACGTTTGAAGAGCGTGACATGAATGGAACTTCCGTCTACGTCTGCGTTTTTTGTCTTTCTCGTGAATTTTAGACTTTTTGTCAGTTCGAGCACATAAAACAGTCGAGTTCAGTTAAGTGAGCCGAGCAAAAGCCTGTCTGAAGGCATCTTCACAGAAATAAAAACAGTGATTCATCTAGTTATTTATTTAGCTGATGGCTGAAAGTAAAATTAAATGCAGCTAAAGGTACGATTATGGATTGAGGATGGTGATTTGCTTCGACTCTCAGGTAGATTTCCATACAAGGAAGGAGAACCAGCAGTCATCAATCACACTTAGTCAGTCTGGCCTGACCGGCGTATCTATCCTCATTCAAGCTGTCTGTCCCAATCAGCCAGCCAAATTACAAAGTCAGGCTAATGTGTTTATCAGGGATTATTAGGATTTTCTTTTTTCATGGTAACAACTTTTTTAGAACAAAACTTTACATTCTTGAATAGTTTATGTAGCTTAATTAAAAGGGTCATTCATAATCACTCATTAAATGTGAGATAATTAATTAAGACAGCTTTTAATCTCCATATGTCCGTCTTCTAATGTTGTTTAATCTTTGTCTCTGAGGTTGGATTGGAAACGCTCCTTAAACGTGTCTGTCAGTGTTTTCATCGGGAAGGGTTATACGGAACTGGAAAGTAAATCTGGTTTTGAAATGCAGTTCCTACGTTCCTCCTCACGGCTGCTGAGGAAAAGGAGGAACAGGAAGTAGGATTTTAATCAGGAGGAAATGGTGCTCAAAGCATCATGCAGTTTAATAGTGGAATTTTCCTAATTTAAGGAATATTTTCACTATATTGAAGCTGGATTTTGTAGAAAAGTCAAACTCCTTTAGTCTTGTCAGAGTTTATATTCTTCAGGACTGATGTGTGAAGGTATCAGGATCACAAATGGCGATATTATAATTTTACCACCTATCAGGAGTTTTTTGCTCCCGAACCCCGTAAAATAAACATCTTTGTAAAATACTTAAGTTGTTAAAACACAAATTATAATACAAATGTCCACTTATTTCAATAATTCAACTTAGACTGAGAGACCACCTAAAGGCTCAGGAACGCTTCAGGATTCATTAGCTGATGAGAGTGTTGACTCGAGAATATTGAACCTTTTCACGTTATTCTAAGAGTTTGAGAGTTAGAATGGGTGGGCTTAATCCGCTGAAAGCCATAATCACCATTGTGACAAATGACACGTTTATCTTTACACGGAAAGTGTCTGTCTCATAATATTTCCATCTTCAAAGTTGAATTACTGACATCAGTAACATTTTGCACCATATTCTAAAAGTCTGCATGCAGATGTATAATATGTGAGAGACCAGCATGGCTATTCTAGCTGACAAGCTAGACACCAGACCCAGAACTGAGCCAGTGTGTAGATCTGTGTGAGGGATCAAGCCAAATGAGTGGAGGAACACAGGAAATCTCCAAAAATAGACTCTTTAATTTCCTTTTTCTTTTAAAATATCCTCACAAAAATAGCTCGAGCTCATAAAAGAGGTCAAACAAACAAACTGAAACTCAATAAACTTCTAACTTAGCATGCTGACTGACTGAAACCATAACCGACCTAGCAAACACAGACACACACGGGTATATATACTCACTGGCTGATCAGACCATATCAACAATAGGGATTACTAGACAAACATTTACTAACTAAAACTAAAACCACAAACCAGTACAGTCAGATTGTTAATAAACCTAAACATCCTAACCCATAAACCTAACTATTTAACTTCAAACTTAAATTAATTAACAAATGACAAAATAATAAACTAAAGGAAATCCTTCAGTCCCCTCTTCATGGAGCTATTGGTTTGGCCCCATCAGCTCCTCCTGTATTTAGCTGACAGAACCCCTTCAACCCTGTTTGCCTGTCCCATCTCAGGAAGCAGGAAGTGGAGAACCTCTCAGCACCGGTAAGAGAAAACAAATCAACTTCAATTGAACAAATGACACGCCTAAAATACAGCAGTTAACTAAATGTGCGCGCTTACAATCAGAACTAATGCATTTAAGCCGTCTAAACAATAAATCCAAAGAAATATAAACGTACAAACTGCAATCATAAAAGTGCATGAGTGTACTAACGTTCACCGTTGTGTGTTCATGGATGTGGCCATCACAATCTGTTATGTTTAGAGCTGTAACAATCTGGAATGGACCACCAGCTGTGGAGACTGAAGATGCTGGTAAGGCAAGTTTAAAAAAGCTTCTGAACATGTTTATGCCATCTTTAAATGAGCTGTGCTTGCCTTTTATTGCGTCACTCATGTTTTAAATGTGATGGCATCGTGACATGTCTGCAGACAGTTTATTTTAATGCATATTTATCTATTTTCATAGATTTTTATGATCATTGGACGGTGTAATGAAGTTATGTTTTTTATGGTTTGTGATTGATAACTGTATTGTGTTGTTTTTTTAAGAATAATTTGGAAACGGACGACAGGAAATGTAATTGTCAAGTTTTTGACAACTAATGGGGATCCAAATAATAACAAACTCTAAATGTGCCGGTTTCACCTGCTTAGTACAGCTTAAAATATGTCGTCATGGAAAGGCAATGATTTTTTTAAGATGGCAGGAATCCATTTTTGAACTAACCTTGCTCAAACTAGCCATTAGCATGTTAATCTGTTTACCCAAATTGAGAATTTTTCCACGAACAACAATTATATTTCTGTTTCTGTTTTGAAAAGTCATAAATGTTTTATTATTTGTGATATAACCTAAAAAAATGTTAATGTTTAGACAAGCAATTTGATGTAAACACATCTGCGGATTAGATTAGGGATCAAATCTCAGACCCTGAACAGCTAATCCACATTTATTTTGTATCTGCATTTTTAAACTCGGCAACAATCAGATGAAGCACCCATAGCAGGAATTTGGTGTAAATGTCCTTAATGGAATTGCAAATGGCGGCCATTTTCAGCTGGAAAGTGTCACGCATTTGGTCTTACCCTCTTATACCACGTCAATTTTTAATGGTCAGTCTGTGACCTGCAGGTCTTTGCTTTTTGATGGCTTCTCATGATCATCACCACCAACCTCCAATGACAAGAAGTCAGCAGAAACAAAGTCTACATCTAAATGATTCAACGATTATCTTCTAAAGTTTTCCATAAACATCTCCTGTAGTTTCTTATTAGCTTTTACTGAGACCTTCTCAAAGAAAAACATCTAAAGTTGGATTCACTCAGCATCTCTGTAGGTTTGAAAACTGCTTTCATGGATTCATGTAGTAAAATGCATCTGTACCTGGGCTACAGCCGTTCAATAGCACGACTAACCGTGTGGTTGTTTATAAGCCTCGTTGTCACATCCGTGTGAATGAAGTGTGTAATAAATATCCCGGTGTTTGCTTGGCGCCGGGAAAAGGTCACGCTTTGGGGATTTCAGCTAAAAATAAAGCATCTCATCAAGGTGCATGCATAATTAACGAGTGGTCATTTTACATGAGGAGGCAGATTTATCCCTTTCATCGCCCTTGTCAGTCATCCAGAGGGTTTAGATTCACATGATCTCAAACATTTCAGTCAGGGTCGCTATAGTAACGCTTTACCCCGCCACATCTTTTATTTGTTATTGTAGAATATAAATAAATGATTGTAGAGCTGAGGAAAACTTCCTTTAATGAGAATCTGAAGAATTTGTTTTGAATGAATGAAACAAAAACTGACTTAAAGATTTAGAAAAATGCCCAAAAATGATATTTGTGACGGGAAGCCACCAGGACGGAATATTTTTAGGTCGTGCTGCAGCCAGAAAATCAGAGGTCTTGTAAAATGTTCTGCCAGTAAACATCTATTAATCTATCGAGCTATTTATCAATCTATCTGGATGATGTGTATGAAAATCCTTAATTTAACCTTAAGTACAAAATAACGGAATAAAAACTAGATTACACGCAGATTTTTTTTATGACAGAAAATTCCTTCTCAAAACACGATAAAGTAAACTTTACTTTGTTGTATTCATGTTTGCATTAATGTTTATTATTATTATTATTATTATTATTATTATTATTATTATTATTATTATTATTATTATTATTTCCACCCAGTGCAGCTTTTGATACTGTGGACCATAACCTCCTTCTGGACAGACTCACAGACTGGGTGGGACCATCAGGCACAGTGCTTGGCTGGTTCCAGTCCTATCTCAAAGACAGGGGCTATGTTGTCTCTATTAGGGCCTACCAATCAAAGCGGATCACCATGGCATGTGGGGTCCCCCAAGGCTCGATTCTAGGACCACTACTCTTTAATCTCTATATGCTCCCCCTGGGTCAGGTCACACTTAACAACAACATGACCCATCATAGCTATGCTGATGACACCCAGATCTACCTAGCTTTATCACCTGGTGACTGTCGGCCAATGGACTCACTCTGTCAGCGCCTGGAACAAGTAAACGACTGGATGCAGTCAAACTTCCCTCAGCTAAACAAAGACAAGACTGAAGTTATGGTCTTTGGTAACAAGAAGGCTGGAATGGATGTCATCGCTCAGCTAGTTTCCAGGGGAATAAAGACAAAAACCCAAGTTAGAAATATTGGTGTTATCATTGACTCCGCCCTGAGCTTCTCTGGACATATTAAGGCTGTAACTAAATCAATGTTTTTTCGCCTTCATCAAATATCAAGAGTCAGAGGTCTCATGTCCAGACCAGACTTAGAGAAACGTATTCATGCTTTTATTTCTAGTCGGCTGGACTGCTGCAATGGTCTCCTAACTGGTCTTCCCAAAAAAGCTGTGAAGCAACGGCAGCTTGTTCAGAATGCTGCTGTTGGAGTCTTAACAAGAACTAAGAGAATGGAGCACATCACTCCTGTTCTTAGATCCCTACACTGGTTACCAGTAAACTACAGAATAGATTTCAAAGTGCTTCTACTAGTTTATAAATCACTTAATGGCATGGGACCAGAATACATGTCAGATCTCATTCCTGTATATGAATAAATTACTGAAATAAACGTTTTATTTAAATGCATTAATCAAATGTCTTAATCCTTATTTTGATGGTTTTAGTTCACATTTGTGTGACAGAATCCCTCGTGAATAGTCAATTTCCATTCGGACTACATGAGTCAAACAGTGGGGGGCAGCAGTAGCTCAACAGGTTGAGCGGGTCGTCCAGTAATTGGAATGTTGCAGGTTCGATCCCGGCTCTGGACAGAGAATTCTGCTGTTGTGTCCTTGGGCAAGACACTCAACCCACCTTGCCTGCTGGTGGTGGTCGGAGGGACCGGTGGCGCCTGTGCTCGGCAGCCTCGCCTCCATCAGTGCGCCTCAGGGCAGCTGTGGCTACATCGTAGCTCATCACATCAGTGTGTGAATGAGTGTGTGAATGGATGAATGATACGCTGTAGTGTAAAGCACTTTGGAGTCCTTACTCTGAGAGGCGCTATACAAGTGCGGGTCATTTATCATTTATCATTTAAAGTAAGACTCGGAAAAATGGGATACTGTTTTTAAATAACCTAAAAAAATATGATTTACTTTACTCAGCAGGATTAGCCCTCTTATGTATTTCTGAGCAGCATATCATGGAAAGGAAAATAAAAAGCATAACCTCCAATTCTGTTTATACTAGTTTATAAATCACTCGATGGCATGGGACCAGAATACACGTCAGATCTCATTCCTGTATAAACACCCAATAGGGCTCCGAGATCCCTTGGAAACAATCGGCTGGTAGAACCTCGGGTCAGAACAAAAGATGGTGGAGATGCATTTAGTTACTATGCTGCTCACATATGGAATCAGCTCCCCCATGACCTCAGATCTGCCCCGACCCTAGTGTTGTTTAAAACCAAACTAAAACCCTCATGTACTCATCTGCCTGTAAATGAACTGTTTCTTATGCTGCGTCGTCTCCACTGTAATCTATGCTGTAACTACGCTTTGTCTTCTCCTTTAGCTCTAAACTGTAATTCCATTAGTGTGCATTTTAACGTGTGATTTCACGTTGTTTTCATGTTGTAGCGGTCTGCATCGCCCTCTAGCGGGGTGTGTGTGTGAAGCAGCAAAGAAGGGTCAGCAGGTAGCAGACAGAGAACACTTTTAATAGCCGAATGGCTCCCCTTATCATCCCCCCACACATACATTTAACTCACGGTGCCAACAGGCACCGGATAAGAACAACACAGCGTGAACTCCAAACTGAAACAAACAACACTTACAAAACCCCGATCAAAATAACCTCCAAAACACCTCAAGCGGAATAAACAAACCCAATCTACCCTCCCCCCAGAGTGCAATGCGGCCTTGCCGGCCTTTCAGTGGCAGGGCCGCCACAATATCATGTTCTGATAACTGTAAAGCACGTTGAATTGCCTCTGTGTTTGAAAAGTGCTCTATAAATAAAGGTGCCTTGCCTTTCCTTTACGATTAAAGACACACTTGTCAGTTTTGCTTTTAGCACCCCCTAGTGCCCGTTTAGTAGAACCAAAAGTGAAATTGTTGTTTTTATCACCTTAATCTAACAGCTGAAACATCCCCTCAGCCTTCATTAGTGTCTACAGGAGTGATTCATCACTAAATCAAACACATCAGCTGTGTTCACGATCTAAAACATGCAGGAAATGTGCTGGAAACATACTCCAGTGCAAGCAAGTCAGCTCCATTTTTACTAAGACCAACAGGAGGTGGCATGCCACTCTGAAGTTGCAAGTGTGATATTCTGGCTACAGGGTCTGAGTGACATTTCATTAAGCCTGTAAGGGTCCTTATAGCACATACTGGCTCTAGAAAAGGATCTAAAATATGGATAAAGTTGCTTAATGTGGCTTTAAGTGATGGTTTGTGAATGAATTCAAAAGAAAAAACTAGCAGAAAATCACATTTTATTGCTAACATTCTCATGTAAAACGTATGTGCAACTAAAGCTGTCACATAATGTTTGTGAAGGTTTTTCATTTAAATTCATTAATCAAATGTCTTAATCCTTATTTTGATGCTTTTAGTACACATCCGTGTGACAGAATCCCTCGTGAATAGTCCATTTCCATTCGGACTACATGAGTCAAGAAGTGTCTAAAGTAAGACTCAGAAAAATGGGATGATGTTTTTAAATAACCTAAAAAAAATTCTAAATTTACTTTACTCAGCAGGATTAGCCCTCTTATGTATTTCTGAGCAACAGATCATAGAAGGAAAATAAAAAGCACAACCTCCAATTCTGAATCTCTGAGAGGTAATTTTGGTTCTTCTTAGTCACATCGAGTGAAAAATGTTCCCATTAATCATGTGACTCCTCTGCTGGTTTAGTATAAAATACACAGTAACACAAAAGGACGGATGAACAACACGCAGGTTTACTTTGTAGAAAGATTTTAACTTTAACTGCGGAAAGTTTCAAATGATGTGAGGCAAATTATCCAGAACACGTTCATTAAACTTGACTGCCCTTTCTAAATCTAATTTTAATTGACTCGTTATAAAATAAATGACAAGAATTAATGGTGTGAAGAGTGAGCTGGCCTAAACAAGGTGGGACACTGTCGTGTTGTGAACTGTGAGTTATGTTTTGGAATTTGTCTTTTCTGTTTAAGATGTATAATTGTTCTGCTACTTCCTTGTTTCCTTTAGACATGACTGTTTCTCTTTCTTTCTGTCTAACTAAATTCAGATAAACCCCAAAACTCATGAAAATTTGCAAACATGACATTTATTTCTGTTACTTTTCTAGAACTGGACATGACGAAAGTTTGGATTAGCTGTTTCCTCCAAACAGAAGCCATCTACGACAGGTAAGACTTCTAACTTTATGCACTCTAAAAATCTTCAAAATACATTTAAGGAAGCAATCTGGACCTTCTTCCCTTTTAGGAATCATGTAACATTTTGTAAAAATCCATTGAAGTGATAGTCTTACCCTGTTCAGGGATATAACGTAGGCAATACGTGCACACAGTGTGCACGTCACCTGAACTACCTAGACAGAAACAGAGTTGGCGTCATTTCTGATGGACAAGTCTTTAAAAACGGTGTGTGTGTGTGTGTGTGTGTGTGTGTGTGTGTGTGTGTGTGTGTGTGTGTGTGTGTGTGTGTGTGTGTGTGTGTGTGTGTGTGTGTGTGTGTGTGTGTGTGTGTGTGTGAGAGTGAGTGAGAGAATAAACAGCATAAAATTTGACTAATAATCGTAAAACAATCAGTGTCCAGCTTTGTTGGCCAGCTAGAGGTGTGCGTCCATCAACAACGGGATTCTGCCCTACCACAGACGAAATTTCTGATTGGTTGAGAACAATGTGTCATGCGTTTCCATGGTAATGCATATCAGTGTGTCTGGTGCAGCCCTGTTTATTCATTTAAACACATAACTCATGACATCTTTATTTCACAGATCATTCACCTGATTATTAATGATCAACAAATGCTTTGATTAGCTTATCACAAATAAAGTACTTTGATTAATCAATGAAAAGCGTTCTTCTTCTGTTCTTCTGTCTCTTCTCCTGGAATGTAAACATACTGAACCAAGCGTCCGACCTTGGCGATGTTACTGTGTGAAGGGGCAGCTGTTAAGGGCAGACCATTATAAGCTTCCTAACGCTACAGCACTTTGTTTGTTTGCTTTGGGCATGTGATGGCACTTTATAAATAAAGTTGATTTGATTTATAAGAGACCGGAAGACATAGCACAGAACTTGAAACTACCCTCTATACTAGCTAGCAGGGGCTGCGGGGGTTCCAATGGGGCAAAATTATTTAGCTTCAGTAAACGATGGCCTCGTTTCTAGCACAGTTGCCTCCAGCAGTGTTCATAGAAATGAGAAGGGCTCAAGGTGTAATACATATCTGCCCCTCTAGATGGTGCTCATTGAGAAAAAACTCAAGATTTCTGCATTACCTCAGGAATTACCTGAATTTAGAAAATCAATACGTAAAATAATGTGATCACTGACACGGACTGAAAATGACACGTGTGGTTTTCTTTTGATGAAGATTTTATGTTTTAATGCTGTTAAAAACACCCCCCCCCCCCCCCCCAAACCACACACACACACACCTTTTGCTGGTGAATCCAAGGATTTCCTCTGTTCTTTTTCCTCCAGTTAAACTTCATTTCACTCATTAGAGCTGTGCATATTTCACCCTGTCATGGTGGTAGGACGGGTATTGGGCATGTATGATTAAAATAGAAGTGATTGATTTTGTTACAGACTGTCTCTTAATGAAAGCCAGCAGAATAATTGACAGTGTGCACTCAGCGTCTCAGCATCTCCCCCTCGTGTATCCCGGCCTGTAAAGATATTCAATATTTAAATAAACACAAACGCGGGGCTGCAAGTAAGAAAATCGAAAGATCATACTTTAAATTACACTCAAAAATGAAACTACTTGCTGAAATGAATGGTGGAGCTGAAGGAGGCCATTATGTGGCAGCCATTAACAGCGCATCATTTAGAAATAAGCTGATCAGCACTTTGAGATGTAGCTTCCATTTGTAAAGAGGACAGATGACCTTCTGTGTTCATTATCGCCAGTATTTATCTCAAGTTGCATTGATCAGCTGCATATTATCAAAGGAAGACGCAGAAATTAGAGCCGGTTTTCCTTTTGAAAGCTTGGTAACACACAGACATGGATGTAAATGTTAAATGGCCTGTATTTGATATAGCACCTTCTAGAGTCCTGGAACCCCTCAAGACGTTTTACAACACAATCAGTCATTCACCCATTCACACACACATTCACACACTGGTGGGGATGAGCTACGATGTAGCCACAGCTGCCCTGGGGCGCACTCACAGAGGCGAGGCTGATGAGCACTGGCGCCACCGGTCCCTCCGACCACCACCAGCAGGCAAGGTGGGTTAAGTGTCTTGCCCAAGGACACAACGACAGCGACAGACTGAGTGGGGCTCGAACCTGCAACCTTCCAATTACGGGGCGAGCACTTAACTCCTGTGCCACCGTCACCCACAGTGATACATATAAAACGGCTTCACTCCTTAGTTTTAGGAAACAACATAACTAAACAAATCTTGCAGTTCCTCTTATTGGGAATTCCACAATAAAGCCCCAAAATTTCTAACCAAGATCCTCTTATGCTAGAAAAGATTGCGTTGAACCATTTTTGACTTTGAAAAAGTGTTACCTCATGTAAGATGTAGGGATGAGCCGTATACTCGTTTCAGACGAGTATCCAGTACGGATAAAGCATTTTTGACGAGTACGAGCATGAAACGAGTAAAACTGGTAAATATCTGTAATCATGCTGAAGGAAAATCCTCATAGGGTAACTGACGGTCTTCATGCTCTGTGATTGGACAGTCAAATAGAGCGCCCGCCCCTCCCTACACACAAAACTGCAGCGGGAGCTCACAGCTCAGTCCGCGTCCGGTCCATCCACGCACACACAGTCAGTAACGGATCTCTCTGTGCTTGCTTCACTGTTCACGTTTCTTCAGTACTCCCTATGTTTTCTTCAGTTTACTTCTTTTTAAAGTTACTTTAAAGTTATTTAAAGTTACTTTTTTCGTAACGTACGTGGTGCATTTGACAAGACAGAGCTGAAAATGGCTCGTGCTGCGTCAGTCACTGCCTCCGCTCCAGTCGGGTTTTTTTTTGTTCCTCTCTCTCTCTCTCCTCTTCCTCAGGATCCGCTCCCTCTTTCCTATTCACTCTCTCTTTCTTTACATTTTTTAATCACAAATGCCTATTTTTTGCTCATTTTAAATATATTTTAATCATTTTCGAAATTCTTATTTCTATTTTACATGTTTTGTTTCTGTGAAGCGCCCCGTGATTTTTATCTTGAGAGGCGCTATAGAAAAGATCTTTTCTTCTCTCTCTTAATTCATGCCCTTAAACGTTAATGTTCTGATTTTATTGAAAAACTCGTTCTGTAATAGTTCCTTTACTGTTGTGATCAAAAACATTTAATCTCAACTCTGAGGCTGCTCTGTAAATAGTTTTCAAATAAGCAATACACATAGCAACTTCTGATCAAACTTAAAATAACGTCTTGATGTAAACCACACCCACTTCCGGTTAAACTACACCCACTTCCAGGTCAGGCCACGCCCACTCCAAGTACAGATACAGATAACATAGATGGTTGAACAGATACAGATACAGATAGTGGTGTACTCGCTCATCCCTAGTAAGATGATGTGTTGACTCTCAGCTACTTTAACGACATGTCAGTTCTGTTCATTGATTATCTATGGCAGTGAATGGGGCGACTCTAAAACTTATAGTGAATTCAAGCAGCTGAAATGGGCTTTATCTGCAGAGTGGCTTGACACATACACATTATTAGAGTATGAAGTGAGGAGCTCAGAGGGAATTTTAGCTCCTTTGCACTGAAATGAATAAGCTGAGTTGGTTTGGACATCTGGTGAGGATGCCTTCTGGTCGCCGTCCATGGGAGGTGTTTCAGATATGTCCCATCGGAAACAGATCTAAGAGAAGACCCAGGACTCGCTGGGCAGATCGTTCACTTAGCCCGGAGAAGGGTTAGAGTCTTTCTGGAGAGGCGTTTGATTGGGTGAATTAGAACAGAGTAGACTGACACCAAACCAAGGTGAGATGGTGCTCTTAAGGGCCAGATCTCTGATTAAGTCCATTAGTCTAAACCATTGCCATGTGTGGCTCAGTATTTATGATTGTCGTGGGAACATTTAAGAATTTCTTACATAGTTACTTGGAAAGAAGGTTCCAATATGTGAGTATTATTAATATGAAATCTAAACGTAGAAAAGTAACTTGTGGAGTTCCGCAAGGATCGGTGTTGGGACCTAAGCTATTTTTACTTTATATAAATGATATTTGTACAGCTAGTGATATTTTAAAATATGTGATGTTTGCTGATGATAAAAACTTATTTTGTTCTGGAGATAACATAAAAGAATTACTGAAAACAGTGGAAACAGAATTGATTAAGTTAAACAGATGGTTTGTATTTAATAAACTATCACTGAATGAAAGTAAAACAAAATGTATGTTGTTTGGATGTATTCAGAGTGATACTGAAGTAAAATTGAATCTAAATAATGCTGAAATTGAAAGAGTATATGAGACTACATTTTTAGGAGGAATAATTGATGATAAACTTTGTTGGAAGTCTCACATACATAGATAATTTCCATTTCACGTGATCTAAGTCTATTTCTGTTCTTTATAAAACAAGAAATTTATTGCACAAGAGCTGCCTTTATTTACTGTACACTTCCCTTTGCTTGCCTTATGTGTTAGTGTGTGGAAATTTGGGGGAAAACATACAAAACATATCTGGATGCAATTTTTAAATTGTAAAAAAGAGCTATTAGAATAATAAATAAAGCTGGATATAGGGAGTCCACAAACCAATTTTTTGTAGGATCAGCTATGTTAAAATTTAAGGACATTATATATCTTAAAACTTTAGAAATGATGTATAGAGCGGTGAAAAAGAATGTTCCAATTTGTATTTTAAGTAAGTTTAAGAGATGGAAAATATGATTTGAGGGGGTCTTTTATGTTTGAAATACCTAAAGTGAGAACTAATGCTAAGTATAGATGTGTGTCGGGTTTTGGGAGTGAAGTTATGGAATGATGAACAGAAGATGTGTTATTCTTTGTCATTTTTCAAGAAAAATGTAAAAATGTGCATCTTCCAAAGTTATAGAAACTTAGTTTGATGTCTAACCTTGTGTTGATTTGATTTATTGATTTATCTTTGCTTTATCTTTAAATGTTATGCATCTTATCTATCAGCCCAACTTTTTTTTCCCTCTTGGTTAAGGATTTGATCATCTCTGTG